GCACATCTGTTGTATTCTTCATGCTCATGCAAGGTGAAGTTCCTTAAAAGGACTCTGAAGTAAAGAAAGCTCTAAAAACTGGACTCTGACTCTAAAATCATGTCAAGAGCACTTTCAATTTCAAAGATTGAAATGTATCGCAAGGAAGGGTTTCAGGAAGTGAACTGATGTTGAGTGTCAGACAGAATGTATGAGGGGGGTGTGAGGAGAGAGACAAACAAAGAGCTGCTGACCTGCTGCTGTTTGAACGCTCACACTGAGGAATTTCCACACACAGGTACAGAATTCACCCAATATCCTCTCTATCTCTCTCTGCTCTGAATACAGACAGGTCAGTACATAATAGCACAAAATGGTTCCTTCGAAAAGTATAATCCATGCCTGCATGGTTCTAATGTAGGTTATGGTGCTCCAAACAACCATTTTCAAAGGCTATGTGATGCTAGATATACATGTACCAGAGCTCTAATTGGGCATTTGTGCGCAGTGTAAGCAACTTCATGAGTTTCTGATAAGTAGCCTTAAGTCACAGGATTGATGGATCTTTGTTTGTTACTCTCTTCACACCCCCCTCATACATTCTGCCTGACACTCAAGATCCACACTCACTTCACTTCATAAGCCAATTTAGAAAGAAATCAACTTTTAAGTTTCACGAAACCTTTTTAGTTTTGCAATTGAAAGTGTTCCGTGCTTGTGACATGATTTAAGAGTCTAGAAAAAGACTCCAGTTTTTTGTTTTAAGGCCTTACTTCGCTTCGGTGTCCTTTCAAGGGACTTTGCCTTGCATGAGAATGAAGGATACAACAGTCATGCCTTTCATAAATGCACAAATATTTAATTTAGATACCAGGAAAAGGATCAATTGTAATACCTTGTTTTATGAAAGTCATCACAGAAATACAATTGACTACAAAGAGGCACAAACACATCGCAAAATTACTACATGAAAATCTAAAATAACAAAATTACCACAAAGAGACCCCTCAGGGTAAAATCGCAAAATGATTACAAAACCACCACAAAAAGATGTAAAATTATTACAAATAGATTAATGACAAAGATACTTAAAATGACTAAAAGTAAACTATTTAATCGTAGGTGTCTTGTATATGTAGACAGAGTGAGGGGCCGCTAACATGTCTGTGCCCAGGGGCCCATTATCTTGCAATCCACCCATGTGTAAAGGTCAGTGTTGGTTCCTTTAAAGTTTAGACAGAACTTCTCAACCCACTACTGTGCAGGAGGCACTGCTGAATTTGACTTGCTTTTTGTCCCAACTCTAAAGGCCCAGACACACCAGGCAGTCACCAGAGAACTCGCCGACGCCGACGCCGACGCCGACGCCGACTGTTGCGTCGGCGAGTTCTCCTGCGTCTTGGCCAACGTCGCACTGGAACACACCGCAAAGACTTCAGCCGAGCACGTACGAACTGCGCATAAGTGAACATACAGTAGGAAATCTCTTCTGCACCATCTCATCATGTATACATATATTCCAAAATACAGGATTATCTGATCAATTATATCACCTAATCTAAAGATCATATCATTTTCAGGTTCATATTAGTATTTAGTGCCTCTACTGTGACATGTTTCCATGCTTTAATGTTCAAAAAACGTTTTATTTTTCTCATACTGCCTGAGCTGCATCACCTCTTTTCCCCCTCTGTCTGAAACCAGAGCCCAGTCTGCTCTTATTGGTTAGCTCTGTTGCGATTGGTCAACCACTTAGGGATGTCCCGCCCCTTAGCCTATCACGTACAATGTGTTGGAGCGCTAGCCAAGAGAAGCACAAATGTTACATATTGATGTCACTATGTCGCGGAAGTAAGCAAAGGAGTCCAATGGAGGCATTCAAGGCTGGAGGGAACTTTGGGATTTTAGCCTTTGCAGACCATTTACATGCACATAAACCTATATAAAACACTACAGGAAAGGGAAAACCCTAAAAAGCATAATAGGGATGCTTTAACAAAACTATAACAGCCCTCGGAGAGCGCAACCAAGGCTATTTTCATAAGAGAAAAATTATGCTTTCATCCACCAGTGAATTGGCTACGCTTTGAAATATATTAAACTCCGGTCTTCCAAGTTTCATCAAAGCAGTTGAAAAAACAAACTGAAGACAAAAGCTCCTTTATTGAGGCAACTAAAGAGAACAACCTTTCACTTCTGTCTTGATTTGTTTTCTTTCCTTTCACTCTTCTTCCTCACACTCAGTTTGACACACTGCTCGGGAAAAGCGTCACCTCTCAGAGGACGGCAACAACAACAGTTGGCCCTAACAGGTGAGAGTGAAATAACATGATCTGTGGATGACCCTCCATTCACTCTCATCCTCTCTGTCCCGCAGCATCTAAACTTACAGTCCTCCATGGTAACCTATTGTCAGTTGTGACAGTGATGACATGATTCTGATGGCTGCATCATTAACAGTAATGATGAATGAGCTACAGTTCCCTGCAGGGGGTCGGCCTCCTGCAGAGAGAACTCCTGCAGCCCACCATCATCTCGTGCTCCAAAAACAAAGTGGAAACTTGCAAATGTTTTCAGCTAAGTGCACTAAATGAAAAACGTAGATGGAGAAACAATGTTGTTGTCAATGGGAAATGTTTTACTTGAGCGACCGACAGTTGGTTGAGTATGGTTTTTGATTTGATCACAGGGAGAGATAAAATCGTATTTCATGTTGTTGTAAACGTCTGTAAAGGACTTTTATTCTGTAAAGCACATTGGTTGTAATAATGAAAGAGTGACAATTCATCTGTTCATTTGTACACAGTGCTTTGTACTTAATAATGTGTACTTTGTGCTATGTTCTTAGCATAGCTTAGTACTTACGGAAAGAATACTGAAAGGATCTCTTTTAGGGGCACTGAGCATTTGATGTTAAATTGTTCAAACTATTTTATAAGGATTTTGCATTGTATCTTAAAGGGCCCATGTCATGCTTTTCCGGTTATTACCCGTCCCCTTGTGTGTTATGAAGGTTTTTCTGCATGTAAACGGTCTGCAAAGTCACAAACCCTCAAAGTACACCCTGTAGCGAGTAAAACTCTAACACAGAAAAGACCTGTTTATGCTGCCCCAGAATGCCTCGTTGGAGATTTCTCATTTTCCATTGTTTTCTTCCTGGGTTCTGTGACGTGTGAATACCCAAATCAACAACAAATGACCGGATTGGCCCAAATGGACCAATCCGCGGAGCACCTCACACACCAGGATCCCTTGGCTAACTAACAGGGAGTCCCCATTGACTTGCATAGAGCTCCCTGAACGCTGGTAATAGACAAGTTGGGATGGCGGAGAAATGCTCTCCGCAGACCCATTCTCACAGCGTTATAAACCTTTTTCTTACTCAATATCAAGCCACACTTATTGTTTTTACTTCGGCTGTGAGTGTTTGTGTGTGCTCAGGATGAGTTTCGCTTGTTCTCGCTGTATCGCCGACCCGGAAACCTGTCCACTCCTCGCATCAGCGAGCCTCGCAACGTCCCGACCAATCAGAGCACACTGGGCTCATAGGGGGGGGGGGGCAGGAGCTCCAACAAGCCGTTTAGGACAGAGAGTGAATACACATACTATACAGAGATGCTGTATGAGAAACCTATGTGATTTTGGAAAATTGCACAATTTAAATCTATTCTCGTAGACCTCAACAATGGAATTATGATCAGTAGAAATGGCCATGACATGGGACCTTTAAAAGTGTGATTCGTGTCATCAATGTTAATCTTTTTACATTTTTTCATATCTTTATTTTATCATCAGTGATGATGGTCATCAGGGACTTTAGATATACGCTGTATTTGTTTGTTTCTGAACACCTAATCAAGATAAACAAGAAAAGGAAATGTTTAACTTGCGTAAAGTAATGATACAGATAAAGAGATTTACATAATAATGTCAAATAATAAGCGTCACCCTTATACTTGCATTAGTGATAACAGTATATCTTTATTACTAAGGTTGCTGCTGGTGTTCCAGCTTCTCCTGTTCCTGTTCCTGAGCTCTAATTATCACCCTGGTGTCACGACACACACTCCTGCCTTTGAACTGCAGGCTGGGCCACTGCTGAGGACACACACAGCTTTGATCACACACTTAAATCACACCGGCTTAGCAAAGGACTCAATGCACCATGATTACAGGTGAGTTATCCTTTTATTGTTAAAAAGGATACAGAGATAATAGTAATTATAATCATATAAATAATTTAAAAAAATGTTTTGAATTATATTTTATGTACTATTGTTATTATTCTTTCTTTACTGTTATTTCCTTATTATTTTTTGTTATTTATTCTTTGCTTTTTTTTTATTGTGAAAGAATTGCACATATTTCATATTTACTTGAGAAGCTTATTCACCCGAAACCAACTGTGAAGAAGTTTTCTTACCTGAATAGTTTTAATATTAGCACAGAGTTTATAATGTGTTTTGACAGAAGGACTAATAAAAGTGCAATAAGGTAAAAGAAGTACGAAAACAATATTGAAGAGAAGACATGATGAAAGATGAGATATGAACAATGAAAAACATGTCAACAAAATAAGAGAATAATAATAAATCACAAATAAGTAAATCAACAAATAGGGTTCTTATCTGTCAGTTTTATATATTTAGGTATGTGTTATCTTTGATGTCAGGCTGTAGTAATTGTCCTCAATACCTTATCACATCCCCAGAGTGTGTATCTCTCTGCTGGATGTTTCTCTTTCCTCTGTTTAGTTAGAAAGATGCATGTACAGTATGTCTCAAGATAAAACCTAAACACATCACTTCCTGTGAGCCAGAGGACTTCACCAGGAAGAAGCAAGCAGACACTGAGTGGAAAAGTTTACAAAGCTTATATTTGTTGGATCACTGCTGTGTTATGTGGAAAGTTTTCTCTAATAAAATGTCACATGTCTGAATAACATGAACAGTATGGGTTTTATTACTTTAAACGTTCTCAGTGTTAAGTAATAAGCAGGACAAAAAAGAACATTTTCCTACCTTAAATCGCACTTTCTTGAGCATCATCTTTGGATCCAGGTGAATAAACTGTGAAAATAAAACGTCACTGAACTTTTCCAACTGCTTAATCCAATCAGTGTGGACTGCCTTTAAAAAAGGCTACCCTCTCAATCCAAATCCAGTAAAAACATCCAAAGTGAGTGACGGTGATCTCCGCAGTGTGGTGTGTCTGCCCGCTGACTGACTGTGTGTTTAACGCCAGAGACAACAGTGTCTGCTCCAGTGTGGCCCTGCTCTCCCTCCTCCCTCACCCCCTCCCTCCTCTGAGACCCTTCACAAAGCTAATCAGCCTGCTCATTCATTCGTAAAACAGACACACCCTCTTTTTATGACTGGATGGCTGCTATTAACACCCCCCACCCCCTCTAACAAACACCTTACAGTCCAAATATGGCTGCTGCTAAGCTCTCTTGAACCTATCTGACCCTTTAAAGCCCCCCCCCCCCCCCCCCCCCCCCCCCCCCTTAACGCTCCTCATCTCCCAGCATTTACCCATCTGTTGGTCCGGGCTCGGCGTCTCAGCCCAGCATCTGACTCGCCTCCTCTTCGTCGCTCTTCTTCTGTTCACTGTCTGCAAGAAAAGTATGTAAATTCCCTCTGCTATGAATCAAAATCATCATTTATGCTCCCATTAAATACTAAAACAGTCCATGTAAGTGTCAGGGAAAATTACAACAATGTCAAGAGTTATATCTTGGGAACATTTATGCCCTGAGCCTTTTACTAGAGGTCATATGTTCCTGTGATGACACAAAATGTGACTGAATGGGGCTAAAGAAATAAGAGAGGCACTGTTTTGACACTCGAAGAAGTGTTTGTTTGGCCTTTGATCCCATGCTGCTTCTCACACACACATTAAAAAGTGCCTACGGTGATGGAAGTGTTCTCAAAATTCTGTATAAAAGTATACATTTCAAGCTGCTAGTAGTTTACTTGAGTATGTCCATGTTCTGCTACTTTATACTTCTATCTCGGAGTGGAATATTGCTCTATTTACAAAAAGAATTGTATCTGACAGCTTAAGTGACTAGTTACTCTTGCATAAAAACACATGTTTGAAGGATTTGACAAGCCCCCTACACAACATTTATAATATGCACTTACATTTGGAGTAAAACCAGAAAAACCTATCATGAGCTATGCTGCATTATATGTTGTTTTACTTTTTATACTTTAAGTACATTTGCTGCTCATACTTTTACTTGTAACAGTGTTTTGAGATAGTAGTATTTCTGATTTTGCTAATGTAGGCCAAACAGATTCCTCCACCATTGTCTGTACTATACAAGTATTTACAGTTACCTGCTTAATGTCAGAGAATAAACTTTTCTTCAGGCAAACCTCACCTCACTGCATTGTCGTTAAAGTAGATGAACCCTTTAGAAGTTTAGTTAACTACAACAAAAGCCCAGCAGTTAGTCATTGCTGACAACAATTCATATTTTGTGTCAAAATATTTACGTTGCTGATGCCAATTATACCTATTTAAGTTTGTGATACATCACATGAAGTGATATGTGATATGAGAAGAACATGACTGTTTAATTTTTACAGGTTGACTGTACTGTATGTATGATATCAGTCCTGACTGAAGTATTTCAATAATTATTATATATATTATAAAGATTGCCATGTGTCACTAAGATCCAATGGATGGACCCTAATCCACTAACAATTTCTCTAGCACCACCATGAGGTTAATATTGATGGTTGTCAGTGAAGCCTCTTGAAAGCTGTTCTCATTGACGTCATATTTTAGCAAAATTAAGTCTTATAACTTTGGTTATCCTTCAGTTTTCATATTGTGCCATCAAATTTAAGTTTGTATTCATAAAAAAAATAAGTATGACCAAATACCCACTAAACTAATGACATTTCACATCAACCTGCTTATTAGCAAATGTTAGCATGCTAACACACTCATACATGAGGGTGAACATGGTAAATACACCTGCGTAACATCACTATGCTAGCATTCTGACATTAGCATTTAGCTCAACGTTCAGTCCAGCTGCAAGCATGACTGCAAAAAAAGGTCTTAACTTGTGAATTTCTGGATAATGTAAGAAATTATTATCTATTACACTTTGAGGTCACACTACTCCAAAGCCTTTGACATAATGCTAATGCTACAGGTGACATTGGTTTTCAAGGCTTGATTTAAGAGGGTTACAAACTTACTAACCAAAAGGGCTGGGAACCACTGTGTCAGCTGCTGTGCTTTAGCAGTACAATAAAGATCAGACATGAGTCACTAATGTAGAAATACAACCTGTGGCTCACAGCTCCATGTTTAGACTGGCTCCTGTGACCCTCACAGCTAATGAGGGATGTCTCGTGTGACCAGACAGCAGGAGTCATTTCTGAAAGATTAAAGTTGACTGTATGACCTATTTCTCTCTGCTGTGTTTACGACTTCACAACAGTTGAAAAAAGTTTTCCTGAATAGTTTTTCAAAGTGTTTGTTGTGATACTAATTGTGTGCACTATGCTCCATGTCATAAATTGGACTAAAAACATTTATCTTATTCCAGGTGAGCTTTAATCTTTCAATGTACTCTAATACCAAAGACCCTTTACCAATAATCCTGACATTTATTTTTTGCTTCTAAGGTCAAAACAATACTGTATAAAATACGCTAAACCAACTTTATTCAGATGGGAAAAAGTTAACCGTATAATGCTCCTAATTCTGAACTTAAGACAATTTAGATCGCTATAAATATTTATTTCCACTTACCTCTCAGGGCTTCCGTACTAAATGACTGTTTACCTACATGGTACCGGATTTATAAAATGCCCAGAGCCAGAGAACTAGCTCCATTAAACAGTAATACATTCTTGTATAATTCCCAACTGGGTAAATTCATCTTGCTAAATCAAGCCAATCTAATTTGGCTCATTACCAACACAAAAACCAGAGTCAGGCGTACATTTTCAATAATACATTTTATTCCATTAAAGATTCTTTTTTCTAATTGTACACTGGAATGTTAAGATTCCCCTTCAGTAATTTAGTTAAAAATGCTCAATCTAGTCATTTTCAACCCCACATCCACACAACCATTGCTAAATCGAAAGTTGGGGAGTACAAATGAAAAAAAACAAAAAACGATAACATAAAAGACAAATGTTATAACTTGAATAATGTTGATGTACTAGGAGAATGCAAGTAAAGGATGAGCGGGTGGATGAGCAGGCGGGGTGGGGGTGGGGTAACAGGATGTGATTCTTCTCTGTGTGTGTGGATAATAAGCAAACACACCCACTCCGTACAGGATGTTAGATTAAGGGCTTGAAAGTTGTTCCTGGGTTAAGATCAAAGTACTTTTTTCCTACTCCGTGATATCTGAGGGCTGGTCATTGGATTTTAATGGACCGGAGAGAAAAATGGCGTCTATTTTTGAGGAGTGGTTGTGTTGGCATTACGCAAAAAGATAGGAATTCCACAGATGCAGAAGTATTCATTGGTAGGTAACTTCGCCTGCGTCTGAGAAATCCTCACAAAGTCCTGCTCTTCACTGTCAAATTTCATTATCCGGATAAGTGGTATAAACAATGACAAATCATACAGTAAAAAAATATCAGTTAAAAATGTAAAGAAGAATGATTTTGCTGATGATAACGGCACACAGATTTAACTGAGAACTAAGTGTCCTCGCAAGAATGAAACAAAAAAGATCATCTAAAGTGAGATATCAAGAGTAAATCACGATAATTTAACGACTAAAGAAAGAAAGGTTTATAATGATTGGGACAGCTACAAATCAGCAGTTATTATGGATAGGGAAATCTGAAAGACAGAAAGCAAGAACCCCCGTTATCGATGAACCATTGCAATGTGAAGAAGACGGGGTGGGGAGGGTGCCCCCCCCCCGCAGTCATCCTCTACTTACTCTCAAGTCCTCTTTACAGTTCTGCCTGGCGAACAGCATCGGTTTACTTTTTTTTTTGTGTTTTTTTTTCCTGTTTCAATTAACTCTATATATAGATGATCCTCTCTCATACAAACATATAAATACACCACCGCTGCTCTGCTCCACCACAGGAAGAGGCTCTACCGGCGGGCTGATGTAGTCCTGTCGATGTACACAGTCTCTCAAATAGTAGACAGGGTGGGCAGGCAAGAAAATCTTCAATCTTTCTCTGTAGCATAGATTTGGACTTTTTTTTTGTTGGTGATTTTTTTGATTTAGTTGTTTCCTTTGAATTATTATTTTTTTTACAGGATTTCGTATTTGTCGACGAGAAAGGAGATTTCTGAAGAGAATCGAACGGAGGTGTCGCCGTCTACGAGGGTCGCTTTGGTAACCTGGGAGAAAGGGAAAAAAAAGAGAGGAAGGAAATTAACAACAAACAGGCAACAGCAGCAACAGGAAGTGGTTTATCGTAAATAACATTCCTGAGCACAGGCAGGAGAGATAAACTGGTTTTGCATATTTTGGCATTTCTTTCCTGTAAGTATACCACTTTAATTTCCAATCTTTTATCCATAATACACCGTTATAGTACACATTTATCTGGCCATTAATTAGCCTCAGGCCAATATAAATGCATTGTGAGATTCGAAAAGGCCCCCCCCCCCCCCCAAAATGTGGCTGATAGTTAACAAAGTACCTTGATATGGCTCCCTTTCATTTGGATTTATTTTCAATATGCATTACGGTTTATGCGCAACATGTTACAGTAAATAAAGTGTGGATTAAGAAATTGCAATGACACACACACACACACACACACACACACACACACACACACACACACACACACACACACACACACACACACACACACACACACACACACACACACACACACACACACACACACACACACACACACACACACACACACACACACACACACACACACACACACACACACACACACACACACACACACACACACACACACACACACACACACACACACACACACACACACACACACACACACACACACACACACACACACACACACACACCACACACACACACACACACACACACACACACACACACACACACACACACACACACACACACACACACACACACACACACACACACACACACACACACACACACACACACACACACACACACACACACACACACACACACACACACACACACAGTGATGTGTTCAGATGTCTTGATGACAGTACATAAATAAAGTTTACAACCGCACTGCATCAAACCTCCACACTGACAAATCTGAAAA